AGACAAGACTGTGAAGACAAAAAAAAAAAAAAAAACCCTCAAGATTTCTCCCTCCCTAGGGCTAAAGTCAACCTTTTCTAGGCGAAATCACACACAAACACTTTGTGTGGGAAACAAAACGGTCTACATGGTAACCTGGAGAATTTATTAAAGAAATAAATAACTGTTACGCTTTATTAATCCTGGTTCCTAAATAAAACGGTATCATGTCCTTGGGGTTCCCTCACTGCAATGATTCCTGTTTGATAAGGGGAGTTTCCTCCTGGTCACATCTTCCTTTCGGGCGAGCGTTTGGTAGCCGTCTGTGGTTCTGGCTGGCACACACCCTGGGAGGTGGCTCCCGGACCACACCACGCACACCAGGGCTGACCCTCCCTCCCACCCGGTCTACACTGCGCACCCGGTCCACACCGTGCACGCCAGGGCTGGCCCTCCCACCAGATCTACACCGCGCACGCCAGGGCTGACCCTCCCTCCCACCTGCTCCATACTGTGCACACAGGGCTAACCTTACCTCCCAACTAGTCAACACCACGCAAACCAGGGCTAGCCCGCCCTCCCACCTGGTCCACACCATGCACGCCAGGGCTGACCCTCCCTGCACCCGGTCCACACCGTGCACGCCAGGGCTGGCCATCCCTCGCACCCGGTCCACACTGCATACACAAGGCTGGTCCTACCACTCTCCCGGTCCACACCGCGCACACCAGGGCTGGCCATTCCTCCCACCTGGTCCACACCGCGCAAGCCGGCGCTGGCCCTCCCTCCAACCCGGTCCACACCGCGCACGCCAGCGGTGGTCCTCCCCAACCCGATCTACACTGTGCACGCCAGGGCTGGTCCTCTCTCCACCCGGTCCACACCGTGCACACCAGGGCTGACCCTCCCTCCACCCGGCCCACACCGTGCAGGCCCAGGGCTGACCCACCCTCCCTCCCACCTGGTCCACACCGTGCACGCCAGGATTGGCCCTTCCTCCACCCGGTCCACAGCGCGCCGCCCTAGCGGGACCCTCCCGCGGCCGGGTCCACCTCACACACACCGCGGACTTCGCCTGGCTGCCCGCGGCAAGCCAGGCCACACGCGGCGCTGGAGGGCTCACAGGGGCAGTCCCGCATCCGCCGTGCGCACCTTTGGGAAAGATGAGCTGTGAGGCATCCTCCTCGACGTCGCCTGCTCGCGGATCCACGCCACCAGCGGCCATGGCGCTCCAGAACACCGCCACAAACTGCGCCGGAAGCGGAAGAGTAGAGCATTTGGCCGCGGCCAGGGAGCGGAAGGGGCGTAGTGGCGGAGCTAGGCTAAGTGGCGGGGCCTGAGGAGCCAATGAAGGTGGTGGCTCGGAGGTGGGCGGGACTAGAAGGAATAGTAGTCCCCTGAAAGCCAACCAGAGAGGTCGTTTGGAAAAGGGCGGGGCTCAGAGCCCTAGAGGGAGGCTGCTCGGGAGACAGAGGTGGGGCGGAATGTGGGGGCGGAGTTGTGAGGTAGGCGGGGCCAAGGGAGCACACAGGTGCGGCTGCTCCGCCGCAAGAGGGGCGTGGCTACAAGATTGGGTGGGGCAAGAAGGGCGCACCAGGGAGGCGGAGAGAGGGGCGGGGCGGGGAGTGGGCGGGGTCTTGCAAGCTGACTAGGTGCAGGCTCGAAAGCGAGAGAGGGGCGGTGCTAGACTGTGGAGCCGGGAGAGCCAATGAGAGGAGAGGGCGGGACGGGGCGGGGCCCGATCTCAGAGGAAGACTCTGGCTCAGTCGCCATTCGCCTACAGGAGCACTTCCGGCGCGGTTCACTGAGCCTTCCAAAGGCAAGTGTTTCACGGGTTAGCTTGTGCGCATCATTTTCATTCAGGAACTCATCGTGAATACCCAAGGATGAGATGGGCTGGGCATATATTTGTTCCCACAGGTGGGAGCGCTGTGCGGTTGCAGCACTTCCTGAACCACATCCCAACAGGGCTGGAGACCTGGCTGCTACACTTTCCAATTAGCTCCCAGCTACTGGCCCGGAGAAGGCAACTTTCCAGAAAGGAGATTCAGAAAGATCTTCCATCCGTTGGTTCACTTCCCAAATGATCATAATAGCCAGAGCTGAGCCAATCCGAAGCCAGGAGCCTGAAGCTTCCTCCTCCAGGTCTTCCACGCAGGTCCAGAAGGTCCCGAGGCTTGGGCTGTCCTTTACTGCTCTTCCAGGCCACGAGCAGGGGGCTGGATGGGAAGCAGAGAAGCTGGGATAGAACCGCCATCACCTGGGACTTGACCCAGCAGCCATGTGGGATGCCAGCCTTGAAGGTGGAGAGTTTCGAGTACTAAGCCAAGGTGCTGGTCTCTGGTCATCCTTTTCTTAAGGTTGAGGTTAGATTTAAAACTATTTTAGGCGACCTGGCATGGTAACCTAGCAGTTAAAGTCCTTGCCTTGCATGTACCGGGATCCCATATGGGCGCCAGTTCCAATGCAGGCAGCCCTGCTTCCCATCCAACTCCCTGCTTGTTGCCTGAGAAAGCAGTCCAGGACTACCCAAAGCATTGGGACCCTAAACCCACGTGGGAGACCCAGAAGAGTCTCTAGGCTTCTGACTTCGGATTGGATTCAGCTCCAGCCATTGCAGTTACTTGGGGAGTGAATCATCAGATGGAAGATATTTCTGTCTCTCCTCCTCTCTGTATATATGACTTTCCCAACAAAAATCAATGCTAAATTTTTTTTTCAAGATTTATTTACTTTTATTGTAAACTCAACTGCTTTCCCAGGCCACAAATAGGGGTCCCAGCACTTGCTGAGGCGAGGACTTTAGTGGCTAGGCTACTGCAAGAGACCCTGGCAGCTCCGATTCTGATCCAGCTCCCTGGTAATAGCATGGGAAGTCATGGAAAATGGCCTCAGTAGATACCCCAGGGGGATACCCAGATGAAGCTCCTGGCTTTGATCCAGCCTATCTTGGCCTTGAAATTATTTGGAGCAAAATCAGTACATAGACCTCTTTTGTCTTTCTGTTAACACTATCTTTCAAATGGAAATTCCACTTAAACATTGGAAAGTAGTGGGCTTGGTGGGATAGCCTAGTGGCTAAAACCTTACTTTCTATGTGCTGAGTCCCACATGGGTAGTTTCTTTTTTCATTATCATTTTTATTTTGAAATTTATCATACAATTTTGTATAGTCTGGGATTCCTCTCCCCCCATATTCCACCCCACAATTGATTTTTCCCATAATGTCACAACTCTTCATAAGGAGTTACAATTCCATCAGTCTGCTATGGGCAGTTTCTAATCCAAGGCCAATCCACATCCATTGTGGCCGTTTTGGGGAGTGAATCCATGTACACATCTATCTGTCGTCTCTGTAAATGGAAGGTAGTTGGTCACTCTCACCCAGGTGAGATACCAGGATTGAGTTCCCAGCTTCTGACTTGTGCCTGAGCCTGGCTTAGCTATTGCAGCATTTGGGGAATGGGTCACTGAGTGGAAGCGCTCTCCCTCAGAAATTAAGTCAAACGACTGAAACAGGAGTCAGTGTTGCAGCAATGGCTTAATCACCAGCTCCATTTCTGGTCCTGTTTCCTGCTAATGCAAACAGGGAAGGCAGCAGATGATGACCCAAGTACCTGGGCCCCTGATACCACATGGGAGACGAGGACACAGCTCCAGGCTGCTGGCTTTAGCCTGGCCCAGTCCTGGCTGTTGCAGCCTCATGAGTGAACCAGCCGGTTGAAAACAGTGAGCCATTTTCCTGTCGACTATGCCTTTCAAATGAATACATAAGCAGATCTCCCAAACTTAAAAAGTTTAAAGAATCAAATGCTTTTTTCCTGAAAGCCATGTTTTGTTTTAATGATAGGGAGTTAAGTTCAAGGTTACAGACACAATATGGTATGTTCTACATATGGGTAATGTTAAATTTTATCAAGTGAATCTCATGGTCTTCAACTCCCTCCAGAAAACCAACAGCAAGGAATTTCATACTGTTATGCTGTTTAACTACAAATAGTGTTGGTTAATGCGGTGTAATCTTCAGAACATTAATTCCTGTTGGAGAAGTAAACACCAATTACCATCAATATTTGAATTTTTAGCCAGCTGTTTCTAGCCTATTGCCAAATCGTCATCCAGCTCCAAGAGCATATTTATCTGGAGCCTTGTTTTGAGTTTTGTCAAGTTTAAAGGTTTCAGAACTGCAGATCTGACATAAAAAAACATCATCTCCTAAGCAGCAGAGTTTCAGCTTGGCGCCACCAATCACGGCATAGGACTGTCCTTGAAGGATGACAGCCGTTTCTCCAAACACATCCTTTCTAGGTCTCCCTTCCCAGGTGACAGGACATGGTTCCTTGCTGAAGTTAATCCCCATCACCCAGTGACACTGCAAAGAGGAAGGGCACTGGTGGCTTTTCAACTTGGGTAATGCCAATTTCATCTTAAATCCAATGAAACATCCTTTCTGCAAACTGGCCTTTCAGTTTCATGATTGGCAGCTCAGTCAACCTGGCTCTAAAAACTAAGTGGTTCCCCCCAAGCGACGAATCCCCAACTGCAAGTTCCTGGGGCTCAAGGAGCACTAACAGACTACTACTGTCCTGGAGGCTGTCTGTGCATGTGTTTTAAGATTTATTATTTATTTTTATTGCAAAGTCAGATACACGGAAAGGAGAGACAGAGAGGAATATCTTCCGTCCACTGATTCACTCCCCAAGTGACTGCAACAGCTGGAGCTGTGTCGAGGAGCTAGGCCAGGAGTCCAGAGCCTCTTCTGGGTCTCCCACGTGGGTGCAGGGTCCCAAGTCTGTGGACTGTCCTCAACTGCGTTCCCGGGCCACAAGTAGGGAGCTGGATGGGAAGCAGGTTCACTGGGATAACCAGTAACCACATGAGATCCTGGTGTGTTTAAGGTGAGGCCTTTAGCTGCTAGGCTACTGCACTGAGCCCTGGAGGTTGTGTTTAAATAATGACCTTCCCCAGCCACTCCTAAGCCATGCCACAAAGCTAAAAAGAAAGAGGCAGAACCCAAGATGTTTACCCATTATGATTTATTCTCTACAATACTTCGTTAAAGAGTTCAATGATTTGCACTCAGAAGTTAAATAGCCGAGAGGCAACCAAGTGTAATACAAAGAATTGGTCTGAAGTCTTTGCACTGAAGGCCATACAGTCTCTTGCTTCAGGGAAGTTAGAACAAAAACTTAACAGAAAGAACACACAGCTTCCTAGGCTCCAGAAATCCCCATAGAAAATAACACCAACAGTTAGTGAGATTGCAGATGTTAACAGATCATGGAAAATGGATCTTGTGCAAAGTACTAACACCTAGGACTTCTTGTGTATAGATGATTGTTATTATAAACAACAAAATATATGTAATGTTTCTACTACAAGCCTTCCGCGTAGGAAGGGTCTCTAACAGGAGTTGTTTTAATATTATGAAGCGAAAAAGTTTTAACAACCGCACAGTGGGAAACAATCCAACAGTTGACAAACATCAAAGACATCCTCTTTGAGTTCATGTGAAACAAGGACAGTTCATAATTACAGGGAGAGAATGTCCTAGCTGCGGGTATGATGAGACAAGCCAACTTCCCAGACCGAAAGGCACTCACAGCTAGGGATGTGACCTGCTCCAAACCGAGCCAAGCCAGCACAGGTGGACTAACTGGTTCCTCTTGCAACCTATTTTGCCCGAGTGGTTCAGGGGCACAGGCAGTAACACTCAGCAGTAAAACTTTCCCCAAACCCTATCATCGCATCACTGCTTTGGTCATGCATGTGGCAGGCCATTCAGTCCCAGTTCAGAGCCATCACCTCCCTATGCAAAGCTGTCACGTGGATGATCTAGACTTGGTACCTTTTTGAGAGCCACCTGCCACTGCTCTCATGACTGCTTCCTGACCAGCCCCGTTCGGGTAGGAGGCTCACAGCCCCCATTCCTCCCGGGGCCACCTCCCGGTGGCTCCTGATGAGGCAGGAGGCCCCCAAGTGTTTCCACTGCTGTGCGTGGATGGGAGCATAAAGGAATGTGCAGGGAGTAAGGCTTCTTCATGCCAAAGCCACTGAGCCCACTCCAGGGTGCGCTGGGCTTTCATCTACCACCCCAATTCTTGTGCACTGATTTTTTTTTCCTCCCCCATTTATTGGATTTTTAAAATTTCTGTTCATTTGCTTAAATGGCAGGTATCCTATCCTACCCTCATTAAAATTTAAAAAAATAAACAAAGCCAACATACTATACATTGGGGAAGATGAACAGGGCAATATGTCTACATAGAGATGGGCTTGAAGAGCGTGGCGTTGTAAATGCTTGCATGACCAGTCTCACTGAGCGTGCTCAAGGGAGGAAGTTTAGCACCATTTTTTTTTGCTTTTTTTTTTAATCTTTAGAAATTAAACACAACTTTTAACATAGAACACTTAAACAGTAATGAGTGTAGCCCTATGTGTCAATACTGTTGTACAAACCGGAGGGTGGCTTGGTCCAGAGTTGACCACCCTAGCATCATCATCCATGGCACCGAAGAGTATCTGTTGGTAACATTTGTTCTCAGCAGCATGAAGTCATGAAATGACTCCTTCACCTTCACTTAACATGGCAAGAGAAACATGGCAGGCTGTAGGGACCAGGCACAGCAGCAGGGAGTGGAGAGGGCAAGGCCTGGGCACCTTCATGTCACCTGTATTCTCCCTCACATATCCCTGGCAGAAGCAAATGCCAAAGATCTCTTGACTTGAATATCTGCCCATTTCAGAAAGCCACACCATCACAGCATCAACTTTACAAAATAAATTAATCTGTTAGCTTGTGCCCAGCCTGCTGTCATAGTTCTCCAGCTATGCTGCTGAAAGCCAGTGTATCATCCTTTGGCCCCTCTAGCCAGCCACCTACTCCCGCAAGTCACCTCAGCAGTGCCTCTGTGGCCATTTGAAAGTTTCACCCAAATCCCCTACTTCTACAAACTCACCAAGTGATAAAGGATGGAGGAAGGGGTAGGTGAAGCTTGCTGACAGCTATCTGGAAGTCAGCAACAATAAGAAAGTTTGAATGCCTGAGGGGAAAATGAGCTGTCAAGAGATATGCCCTGGTAAGGCAAGACCAAAGATTCACCTTCACTACACAGCTTCGCCTCTAAAGGACGGCAACGTCCACCGCTTCCACAGGCAGACCGCAAAAAAAGAACACCCCTGCCTCAAGGTCCCTTGGGATGCAGGCCTGAGAAACAGACCCAGGCTTCTCTCCTGCAATAGGCACCCATCTTCCTAGACCCAACCCCACAACAGAAGGGCACAGCTATACTTCCGAGAACCTCCATCCAGCTCCAGGCACAGCCACCAGGGGAGCAAGGTGGCCGGTGGTGAGGTCTCTGCTTGCACACCTGCAGGCAGACCTCTCTGCTTCATTCCTCAGCAGGCTACAGCCCCGAGCTCTGTTTTACACCAGGAGACTCAACGCAGGCAGAGTGCCACCAAGTCCGACAGAGTGGGATGAGAACTGGAGGGCTGATTGAGCAATGAGATCTGCAACGCCAGCTGCAGGGCTTCCGATCTCGGTGTGGGTCTCTGTCCGGGAGCCTCGGGGGACTCCAGGGGCCCACGCTTAACCCTAACATGGCGTCCACTTATGAAGCATGAAGGTGGTGAACAACTCTTGGTACACACAATAAATCGGAAGTTTAAAAAAATGAATTTAAAACAACCTAAAAGTGTTTGTTGTTGGTCTCCGTTGCCCAGACTGCCAGGGGAGTACACCTATTTGATCTGGGGAGGCTGCAGGGGTGTGTGTGGGGTACGCCTTCTTGGATCATCAACTCCAGCTTCCGGCGCGAGGCCAACACACGTGGCAAAGCACAAGCCAAGGGTCTTCCGCACTCCCACAGGAATTCTCACTAGTCACGGAGGAGCCCCAATCCAACGGAACCCCATATTGAGGAAAGGCTGAGATAAGGCTTGGGCCCCTCAAAGTTCTGCTTCATTCAGTGTAACCCCACCCCCTCAGTCAGTGGGAGGCAGACTTGGCAACGGAAGCTAGCATCATAAAATGGTGCAGTAATAGAAGTAACTGGACCAGGAAGAGGAGGCATCTGCTCCAATGATGTCATAGCCATTGGTGGCCACAGGGGGGTGGGACTGGTCATGCAGCCGTGTGTCAGGAGTAATGATTGTAGAGGGGCGGGGAATGAAGAGTGCCATTCTGGAAACAGTGCTGTCGAGACGCGATGTACTCCGCGTAACTGATTGTCACCTTCTCACTCCGATACCTGTACAAGGAAACAGGACAGGGTGTTACGACTCAAACACTTCCTTCTGCAACGCCACTCAGCAGAGAAAACCAAAAGCTTATTCCACACTTGAAAGAATGGAAGACCAATCTTACTTACAAAAAATGAAAAGACAGCACAAGAAAACAATGTTGTTATTACACATGAACAGGATGAAAAAGCACAATCACGATCCACCCTGAGAATGTGTTCCAGCACAGCCCACCTTCAAACTCTACATATGCTCATCGTAAGCAGCCTGGAAGCAATCTGCTACTGGGGTCTGGATGAAGAATGTCAAAGTCAAATTAAACGGGTGGCAGATTGGCAGATGGCTGGCTGCACCAAAACCCAGTGTACACTGTGAGTCCACTTTCAGGTTAAAAGGAGATCAACTGGACAAAAATGCAACCTCCATTTGCAAAAGAGCAACAAACAAGTCATTATAACTAAAAGGGGCACAGATACCTAATTCTGGGTCAAATTCTGATGAAATCAGGTTATAGGATCCTCGGGGCTATATAAGACAGGTCTCAATCCCCAGATGAATATGCCATATCACAGGGTCACCAGAACAGAATCCATAGCACTTTGGCTTTGCTCTGGAAAGAGCCATGAGTCAGGATGCGAAGCATGGGGTGTTACAAACCTATGGAGCCTACTACAGACCACAGGAGCTGGGTGACAATCCTTACCCAGAGCCATCTCTTTCCCACTGTAATCACTCCTCCACTGCAAGGTGATTATTCCTGAATTTTGACAGGGAAATGGCTGTTCAAATAAATTGTAATAATAATAATAATAATGCTTTGTATTTGAAGCATTTTGTTGTTGCTGTTTTAAATTTTGGAATCCAAAGCATTTCGAAAACACGGGGTTATTTCTGAACAGACCTGTGAGGCTAGCGTATGATTCTTCAGCATGTTATAGGAGAGGGCCCAACACAGGTCCACAGGAGCTAAACTCCTCAGAGCTGCCGATTCTCACAGGGACAGGAAGAGAGCTGACATCCACTTGTCACCTACAATGTGGCTTGGCCCAGGTCAGGTCTAAACGTCACCATACCACATCCTAAAGTAATCCCAAGGTGCTGTGGTTCCCATCTTACCAACGGGAGACAGGCCCAGAGAGCCACACTAACTGGCCCCAGTTTGGCTTAGGGATTCAGACCCTAAGCTCATGCACCTTCTGAGATACTAGGCTGCCTCCCCAAGGAAGGGCGGTCCACAAACAGGGGAGCCATTTTTCTTTAATGTTTCATAAAAACTATTTTCTCTCTCTCACCTACATCCCCTGCCACCTGACTGCACAGGTGGTCAGGATACAGCACTTGGCTGACCCTGAAATTCCACACCATGAGCCTTCCCTCGTAACTTTCCCGCATCCTCTAACAGGCCTGCCAAAGAAACCCATGACCTGCTGAGCAGGCCTCACCCCCAGCCCCACGACTGCCATCACATCAGCTGTGGTTGCCGGGCCATCTGTCTCTGCTGCCACTGCCTCCTCAGAGCTTAAGCCTCACCTATACTTCTTTGCTTTGGGATATTAGCAGAGACATTTTTTCCTCCCTTCTTCTCTCCCCTCCAGTTATCCTCCATCCAACCAACCCCAGCTAAATTAAAATGGCAAGAACACTGAGACACCAGCTTACCTGGTGAGCTTGATGGTTTTTCTGAATTCACTGGTGATGGGAGCCTTAAAGCCACCTTTCCTGAGCAAGGAGTCTATTGTCTGGATCTGATCCCAGTCTGAGAAGAGAAGCCACATGGAGGTCAGCACACAAGCATGCCAGAGGATCACGTGCCTGAGTGTGGCCAGTGCAGGGAGAGGGATGAGATTCCAGTAGCAGCACAGTCGCTTGGGCAGAGCACGCCCAGAGAAACTGACCCCACATACCTGGAGCCCCATCTGCCTTCCTCACAGTCCAGTGGAGACTGAGACATGAGGTCCCAGCCAGACAAAAGCCATCGTGGCTGTCCGCAGACCCTACTCCTGCATCCTTCCTGGAAGATGTAATCCCAGTATAATTCTCCAGGAACAATCATAGTCCCAACTTAGACTGGCCTGCTGACCTAATGCCAATACCCAGGGCTGCTGTGTGTGAGAAGAGGAATTCAAATTTGGCAGCCCGTATTCTTTTGCGTGGCTTTCCTTCGGTCTGGTCCTTTCTAGAAGTCCTGCTTTCTACAACAGAGAACTGACAGCAGCAAGGAGGTCTTTTCTTTAGGAAGGACGAGAAAGCTGATCACACACATGGAAGGAAACCTTAGAAAGTTAGCTGCAAAGCTGAGAAAAAGGATAACACACACTTTCACAATCTTTCTGAAGCAACCCCACTTATGCCTATGTTGTTTTTACACATCATTTTGACAGTTTAAAAGAAAAAAAAAAAAAGTACTCTGGGCCCGGCACAGTGGCCTAGCGGCAAAAGTCCTCACCTTGAATGCGCTGGGATCCCATATGGGCACTGATTCTAATCCTAGCAGTTTCATTTCCCACCCAGCTCCCTGCTTGTGGCCTGGGAAAGCAGTAGAGGATGGCCCAATGCTTTAGGACCCTGCACCCGTGTGGGAGACCCGGAGGAAGTTCTTGGCTCCTGGCTCTGGATTGGCATAGCACCAGCCATTGCACTCACTTGGGGAGTGAATCATTGGACAGAAGATCTTGCTCTCTCTCTCCCTCTCTGTATATCTGACTTTGTAATAAAAATAAGACTACCCTAAATTACTAACTATATCTTGGAAATTTTTCATTTCTTTTTTTCGCTTTTTAAAAAAATGTATCTTTATACATATTTTTAAAAGAAAGATTTTTTTTTTAATTGGAAAGTCAGATTGACAGAGAGAAGGAGATAGAGATCTTCCATCTGCTGATTCACTCCCCAAATGGCAGCAACAGCTGGAACTGAGCCGATCCAAAGCCAGGAGCCAGGAGCTTCTTGCATGTCTCCCATGCGGGATGTGGAAGGGAAGTTGAGCAGCCAGGATATGAACTGGCGCCCATATGGGATCCCAACAGATGCAAGGTGAGAATTTAAGCCCCTAAGCTATCACGATGGGCCCCAATTTTCATTTCTCCAATCAACTTTAAATAGCAAAACTATTTGCCTACATTACTGTATGCAATTCACCACCAAAAGGCCTCTTTAAAAGGAAAAAAAAAAAAGAAAAAAGAAAAATTAGGACCCAGTGCAATGACTCAGTGACTAAATCCTCGCTTTGCAAATGCCAGGATTCCATTTAACTACCAGTTTGTGTCCCAGCTGCTCCACTTCCAATCCAGCTCTCTGTCTGTGGCCTGGGAAGTCAGTAGAGGATGGCCCAAAGCCTTGGGACCCTGAACTTGTGAGGGAGACCCGGAAGAAGCTCCTGGTTCCTGGTTTGGCTTTGGCTCAGCTTTGGACATTGTGGCCATTTGGGAGTAAAACAACAAAAAGAAGATCTCTCTGTCTCTCCTTCTCTCTGTAAATCTGCCTTTGCAATAAAAAATCTTTACGCAGAGAAAAAGTCTTATGGGATCCTTAAAGACTTCCTTTCCGTGCCACATCCACACTTCTGAAAAAGGTTAAACACCCACAAAGAACCAACAGGGTAATGGCTTTGTTCATAGTAAGCTCGTCTTAACTGGGTATTTTTCTTGACTCCAGATTCACACTCAAGAAATACTGTGTTTTACATATTAGTTTCAAAAATAGACTAATTCCGAGAAAGAAAGAGAACTGGGTTACATGTCAAAGAATGAACAAGTAACATCTACAGGTGTGTTTCTAGTTCTCAGAGAAAACGACCTAACCCATTTTCTGCCTTTAACATCTCCATTTTAAAAACTTACTAGTGACCTGGCACAGTAGCCAAGTGGCTAAAGTCCTCCTCACCTTGCATATGCCAGGATCCCGTATGGGTGCTGGTTCAAGTCCCAGTGGGCCCACTTCCTATCCAGCTCTCTGCTTGTGGTTTGGCAAAGCAATAGAGGGTGGCCCAAAGTCTTTGGACCCTGCAACCATGTGGGAGACCCAGAAGAAGCTCCTGGCTCCTGGTTTTGGATAGGTTTAGCTCCGGCCATCGTGGCCACTCTGGGAGTGAACTAATGGACGGAAGATCTTCCTCTCTGTCTCTCCTCCTCTCTGTATATCTGACTTTGCAATATAATAAGTAAATCTTAAAAAAAAATAAAGTTACTAGCTCAAGAGTCATTGCTAAACAGCTGGCTTTGCCCTTGGTTAAGTGTCACAATAGTTAATGATTTCACCATCAGAATGGCAACATCCATTTTCCAGGTCAAGCTATTAAGGGGCCTGGAAATGAAAACTGCTCAGTGTTTGAGAAGCAGGCAGGAAGTATTTGAGAAGCAGGCAGGAGGTGTTTGAGAAGCAGGCAAGAAAGGAAAGTGGCATTCCTTCCTCTCTTTTTTGGGATTCATTCCTCTCTACAGGAATCCATGAGGCAGTGGGTGAGAAGCCACACACTGCTAGTGGACGCTTGGAGGACAGAGGACACATGTCTCCAGGGCACCACTGGGACTCATACTCCCCACTAAAATGTCGCGTGTCTGACTCACCTTGTTCCTTAGCAACCTCAGGTAAATACGTGGCTGTACGCTTGACGCCTTTCTCATTGATGAATTCAATTCGAATCCCATGGACCCCTACCTACAGAAAAATACAACCAAGTACATGGCATTTACTTACTCTTGATAGGACTTGTCCAATCACCTATACACACTTGTGAATTGGCACGTTCCCGACCAGCGTCCCGACCCAGACCCACACAGAGGCCGTAAGTTCAGCTTTAGGGAAAGCCCAAGCTCTCTGAGAATGTTAAGGTTGTAGAAATAAATTCTTCAAAGAGCTCAGATGGGGGGCCGGCATTCTGGTATGGCAAGTTAAGCTGCCACCCTGCCAGAAACCCATACTGACGCCGGTTTGAGTCCCCGCCGTTTCACTTTGGATCCAGTTCCCTGCTAATGTGTCTGGGAAAGCAGAAGATGGACCTAGTTCTTTGGTTCCTGCACCCATGTGGGGAACCAAGCCAGATGGAGCTCCTGGCTTCAGCCTGGCTCAGCCCTAGCTATTGTGGCCATTTGGAGAGTGAACCAGTAGGAAGGAAGACTTCTCTGGTTGCTTCCTCTTTCTCTGTCACTCTACTTTTTAAATAAAAAGAAAGAAAGCTCACCCAATAGTTTTGAATATTTTACCCCATCCCAATAAATGCACATGCCACAGATTTAATCTGGGTACGTGACTGTTCTTAACTGACTCTTCATGGAAACTTTCACTGATACTCTTACAAGAGCGACCTGGGATATTTCCCTTCATCCCAGTTCTTATTAGATGGGGAGAGGGGCTACAGAACATGGTGGGCCATGAAGAAACACTTCTGTCTCTTCTCACTTGTGCCACAGCAGCACCTTTTCCGTTACCCGCGCTGCCCACCATGGGTTCCAAACTCAGCCTGCACATTCTCAGACCCTCTCTCAATGAAGGAGATACATTACCATGTACTAACCCGAACCCAAATGCAACGAGAGATGCAGAGTTCCAAATGCGGCTGTTCTCACCTCCCAGTCCAGGTAATCACTGGCATCCTCAAAGTTAGTAAGGAGGGAGACAGAGCAGAAAAGTTTAGGCAGCTCCTCTCGGGTCAGGGGGGGAAATCGGCTGTCCTTAAGTGCACTGGAGGAGGACAGAAAATACGAGTGAGGCTGCTCTGGAGCTGGGAGCTGACATCACGTGCCACAGAGCCCACAGCTATGAATCCTTAGACACCCAACAACAGCAACCCATTCACACTAAGTGTCTACACCTGAATTGGCACGTGACCCATGAGGTCACAGCCCTCGTGTTTCCTGATTACCAAGAAGTGAACGCTCCACATGTCATTTAGAAGACACACATGGTTGCTTCTGAGTCTAGTCAGTCATTTACAGTTTTTAACACCCGGTGGCTTTACCTGGTTAACGTGTATTCCCTGAGTCCTGAGTGAAGATTCATGGCTGAGAAGGTTCCAATGCAGCCACGAAGCCGCTTGTCCCGCCCTGTCTTCCATGTCACAAAGAGTGGACTAAAAAAGCAGAACACAAGACATTCTCCAGGCCTAAGTGACTCATTTACGGGAACATCATCTTTCGGCTTTGCCCCTGCTCGTCCCCAAGGACAGCCTAAAGCGACATGGAAAAAGGCCCTCCTCTCCGTGTGGCCACCCTGGGTTCCGTGTTGATGGCTCTAACTCACTTATATACCACATTTATGTACTATTTTCCTCTTCCACTGCTTAGGTCTCAACATGTTCTTATAATTCTCCATGTTCTCTTCTTTACCTTGTTTTTATGGGTAGCCGCAGTTCCCAGCTCCATCCTTCATGGTGACCCACTTGCCGGCACACCCACATTATTCCCGTAATTACACCTCCTAGCAACTACAAATATTTCCTGCTTCTAAGTGTGCAGAAGAGAAAACAATGTGTCTTCCACAAAACTTCTTAGCATTTGACACTTCAGTTCCTGGGCCAAAGTCATGCTTCACTAGGCTCTATCAGCCCGACAGTGACAGCCATTTCAGGAGAGGCGAGGGGTAGAGCCCCTGCTTAAGACCCCCACCACACTCCTGCGGTGACCTATTTCTTGCATCACTGTTACAAAGATTCCCAGATCTCTCACCTCTCACATTTTCCTTCCAAAAAGGAACTCACATGGCCGCAGCCACAGTTACTGTCCTCAAACCTAGTCAGAAAGTTAGGAAGACTTCCACAGCCTGCGAGGTGGAAACACAAACCCTACAGGCCAAGGCCAAGGGTCCTTGGTTCTTTCAAATATGTATTCTGAGTGCAACATCTTGGTGCCACCCCAGCTCACAGTCACTAGCCGGCCAGTTCAGAGTTTTCTGACAATATGTCACACAGCATTATTTTTCTACAAGGTCAGCACATTTTTTAATGCGAACTAGTAACTGGCTTTAGTGCGTGATATGCCAATTCAATAATTTTTTTTCTTTTTGTTTTTGTTTTTTAAACAAATCTTTTTCATATCATCTACTGTCTGTACCAATAGTTGGGCATGAACAATATTAGATTGACATATATTCCAAGGAATACCCCTAAAAATAAGCCTCATGAAAAAGCAATGCTCTTCACGGTGCGTTCAAAGCCACCTCCAGGTCAGAAGAGATGTTCCAAAGGCAGCAGAGGCCCTGAGCAGGCTCAGGACACACAGTGGAGCAGGTCACTGCCTATGATGCTGCCATCCCACGTCCAGGCACCAGAGTGAGTCCTGGCTGCCGAGCTCCCGTTCCTGCATCCCGCCAACGTGCCGGGGAGAGTAGCAGAGGCTGGCCTAAGTGCTCGGACTCCTGACACCTGAGTAGGGGACTTGGTTGGAATCCAGGTTGCTGGTTTCAGCTTGACCTAACCCTGGTCACTGCAGGTATTTGGGGAATGGACCAGCAGAAAGAAGACCTCTTTCTGTGTCACTCTGCCTTTCAAATGAATGAATGAATGAATGAATGACTAAATAAAAAAAAAAACCTCCAACATTACGTGCGTCCCCAGTGGTGTGCTGTCTCCAAATGTCAAGGTGTAATGACCTAGCCGCTGCTGTGTGAACCAACAGAAGACAACATTACCAGCAACCCTATCAGACCTACATCCCCATCCAAATAGAACCTCGGCCCCTCCCCTTCCTGATCCACTCAGTTTTCTCAATACCATCCGGACATTTCTTTTCATTCTTTTCCCACCATCCTTTGCTTGAAGGACATTGAAGCGTTAGAAACAGCTGGTCCTCTCAAAGAATGCCCCAGAAAGCTGCCCTCACAACCCCACCACACTGCCCCCAGTGCCTGCATTACTCACTAGGGGTCATTGGTGAATCTAGGGAGTCGAGGCTGTGGGAAGCCATAGAGGTGACAGTAGAGTACATCGAAGCAGTAGCAGCACATCTCTGCGGTCACCACCAGATTCTTCGTGGTGTTGGCAGTTCCATTGGGCCGGGGGAGAGGGCTCAGAGCTCCCGATGCGGGATTCATTCGTGTGATGGGAGAGTTTCCAGGCCCCAGAGTTAAGTCCGATACGTTCTCCCGTCCACTGCTGCTGTCCACATGCTGGTGGTTTTGAAGAGGTCCTGAACTAGAGCCGGGGACAGTTGTGGACTGATTCCCGTGACTGTGTGTTCCACTTCCAGATAGCTTGGGTTTCTTGACCCCACAACAGCCTGCTGCCAACTTGGGCTCGAGTGGAGGAACACAACGTCTTTTTCCCATCCTGATGCGATGCTCGAGGCCTGGAATGCTGCAGAACCCTAAGCGAAAAGGGAACAGGTGAGTGCTAATTTGGGTGCTTCATTAAAAGAAGAGAGCAACGACGATGACAATAACATCAAAGCCCAAGTCTGCAGAGCCTAGGCAGGAGTCACCAGTGCTCCTGTCCGGTCAGCCTTCGGAGTCCCACAGCCAGATGTGATGCACTGCAGCAGGGCAGCAAGAGACACTAAGTGCCAGACCAGGTCCCCATCATTGCTCCAGGGAACTACTCCAACATTTTCCATAAAGCCTATTACCCTATGGGTGGAGGCAAGCAACAAGCAGGATTCTGTGCCCAGCAGCCCTAAGGGAACAACAAGGGGTAGGTAGCAGCCAGGGTGAAGCTGGGGTAGGACACCTCAAGAACGAAGGAAGACTGCCCTTGACCAGCTAGGCTCAGCATCAGGTGCTGTCTTCACCCTTTTTAGAGGCTCCAAATTGAACTATCCTATTTTTATAGAACTCCAGAGGAAGCGCCAGGCCTTCCCTCGCTAACCACATCCTGTCGCATTGTTAGCACCACCTTACGTCTGCCTCTGCAACCCATCGGGCCTGGACTGAAGAGGGAAAGCTCACTTGGTACAGGGCACAGCTCCAAAGTCACAGCTCACACCCATCTTCACAGCAACCCCCTTCCCAGCCCCTCCTTCATTTCCTCTAGTTCCCCTCCGAACTCAACTCTGACCTCTGCACATTGCTCCACTATTTCAAGACCCCATTCAAAGAAACTGCAACCTGGGAGAAACACTGATTCAGACCAATGACCCTGGTCTCATAGTCCTTTTGTGAGGTAGCCAGGTCTGCTCTGTCATAGGCAGGCAGGAAGACACAAAGCCAGCCAGCTTAGCAAGACGCAGCATCTCAAGGGCCAGGGAACCCTAGTGCCTCAGCTGCTGATGGCAACACAGCAGGAAGCGATGCTTTTACACTATGTAATTTTTTTTTTCCTTTAAGAACCCAAAGGTAAGGGCCTGGCGGTGTGGCCTAGCGGCTAAAGTCCTCGCCTTGAACGCGCCGGGATCCCATATGGGCACCGGTTCTAATCCTGGCAGCTCCACTTCCCATTCTGCTCCCTGCTTGCGGCCTGGGAAAACAGTCAAGGACAGCCCAATGCTTTGGGATCCTGCACCCATGTGGGAGACCTGAAGGAAGTTCCTGGCTCCTGGCTCCGGATCAGCACAGCACTGGCCGTTGCGGTTACTCGGGGAGTGAATCATCAGACAGAAGATCTTCCTCTCTCTCCTCCTCTCTGTATATCTGACTTTCCAATAGAAATTAAACAAATCCTTAAAAAAAATTTTTTTTTATTGGAAAGTGAGATTTACAGAGAGAAAGAGCGGCAAATATGTTCTGTTGGCTGGTTCACTCCTTAAGTAGCCACAGTGGCCGATCCAAGGAGCCAGGAGCTCTTCCGGGTCTCCCGCGCAGGTGCAGGGTCCCAAGGTTTTGAAACATCCTCTACTGCTTTCCCAAGCCACAAGCAGGGAGTTGGTTGGGAACTGGAGCATCCAGAACACAAATTCATATCCATACGGGAGTCCAGAACTTGTGAGGTAAGGATTTAATAACCAAACCATTGTGTAGGCCCTCTACAACATTTTTTAAAACTTTCATTTCACTAAATTTACTGGCCAGCGTTTTTTTTTTTCTCCCCTTCACTCTTTTCTCCCCTCCAGTTCATAATGGGTGTCCTTCCTCTACAGCATTTTGAATCCAACTGATATTAACACACCCCATCTGCAATGCCATTCTTTCTACACTAACATGTCACTTAGTTGAACAAGATATAAGCATTTACAAACCAACGTTTTCATTCACTCCCCACAAATGGCAGCAACAGCCAAAGCCAAACTGATCCAAATACAGCAGTCAGGAGCTTCTTCCTGGTCTTCCAAATGGGTGCAGGTGCCCAATGCCTTGGACCATCCTCTGCAGCTTTCCCAGGCCATAAGCAGAGGGCTTCATGAGTAGTGGAACAGCCAGTATACAAACCACTGCCAATATGGGATGCCAGTGCCCCACGGTAGAGAGGATGAGCATGATGTCCAATGCTCTGGCCTCGAGTGTTTGCTTTTCAAGATTTACGTACTTATTTGAAAGAGAGGAAACAAGAGAGAAACAGAAAGATCTTCCATCTGCTGGTTTAGCCCCTAGATGGCCACAATGACCAGGCTAAAGCTAGCTTCATCTTGGCTTCCCACATGGGTGGGAACACTTGAGCCCTCTGCTGTTGCTTTCCGCAGACCATTAATAGGGAACTAGATTGGAAGTCGAGCAGGCTCAGCTTTAACACTGACTAACTGGCATCACATGCAGTGGCTTTGCCCACTACACAACAACAGCCCAATTGTAGAGTTGTTGCTTGGAACACTGGCATTTCATAGTGCCCGGTCCTAGGTCTGGCCCTTCTGATCCAGCTTCCCGCTAATGTGCGCCATGGGAAGCAACAGGAGCTGGTTCTAACACTTGGGTCCCTGCGCAAGGATCCAGATGGAGACACCAGACTGAGTTCCATCTCCTGGTTTTGGCCTGGCCCATCCCTAGCTGTTGAGGGCATATGGGAAGGGAACAAGTAGATGGAAGATCTGTCTCTGCCTCTGAAATAAAATGAAAAGAAATCTTTTCAAAAATTAAGGCATAAAATACTTGCACACTTCAATGTCTGGTTTAATGGGCTCCTTTCTGAGACAGCCTGATGTACCGATACAGTGCAATCTCCATGAGAATGCTCCTAGACATGGGTGTCACCGACAGACTGTGAAGACAGGGAGCCTCTGGACCTGGTCCTCCACTGCAAGTGCTGGCATCCTTATGGGCATCAGTTCAGGTCCCAGCTGTTCTACTTCCCATCCAGCTCCCTGTTTACTGGCCTGAGAAAGCAGTAAAAAATGGCTCAAAGCCTTGAGACCCTGTGCCCACATGAGACCCGGAAGAAGCTCCCGGCTTCTGATTGGCTCAGCTCCGGCTACTGCAGCCACTGGGAGGGGGAACCAGTGGGTGAAATATCTTTGTCTCTCCTTCTTTCCTTCTCTCTGTAAATCCGCCTTTCCAATAAAATACAAAAAAAAAAAATGCTGCCTCAGCTCCACAGAGCCTGGTTTCAAATCCTACTACCTCCAAATTAATCTTTCTCTGACTCACTTCACTCAAAGCAAGAGTACCAGCAATCCTTGGCTCCTGGGAGAACTGGAAGGGCTAAGCAAACTGACCACTCATGAAGGGCAGAGCTCAGTGCCCAGTCCTGAGTCAGTACCACTACACCTAGCTGCTCTCACTGGGACAGCAGCTCCCACATTGAAGAGACCTGACTCTGCACAATAGGTACTTCCCAAACAGCATCCCACTGACTTGTCAGAACACCCGGTAAGCAGACAGGGTTAGCCCCCTGTTTAAGAGCAGGAGTGTCAAGAACAGCGGCCAAGAGAATCTGCCCAGAGCCACAATGCCACACTAAGTGGTAGAAACAGGATATGGACCACAATCCATCGGCTGATTCCACAACACAGGGTAAGACCTGCAGGTCAAGTTCATTAGATTCCAGCCCATTCCTAAGCACATAGTAAACAGGCAAATTACCTTGCAGGGCACTCTAAAATAAACTGAGAGTTTATGGCATTTTACCACCAAAAAATGGACCAAGAACTATTTAAAACAAAGTCCAATGTCAACATGTCAGCCCCACCTCTCCCATGCCAGGTTACCTGGGCGCAGAACAGTGGCCCAAGTTCTCTCCCAACTCTGTAACCTGTGCATTACAACGGGCAGGGGATGTTCTCCAGAGAGCTGGAGTTTTAAGAGACCTCTGCCTTTTGAACCCAGAATTCAAAGACCCCGACCACCAGCAGTGGAAAAAGAATTCCCTCAGAATTCCTGCTGCACCACACCATGCCCGAAGGAGACGGCTCAACATCACAAGAAGGTGAGCCTGCTCTTAAGTTGAGAAATCTGCCACCAGACTGATAAACACCTCACGGGAGAGCAACGGAAGGCGTCCTCCAGCCACCAGGGGCCACACCTGCTTGCCATCCGGGCACTGACCTGCAGCGGGGCAGGATAGCAGGCTGACTGGAAACTCTTGCTCCCAGACCGGACTCGACAGCAATGCAACCAACCAAAACCTAGTGCTCACCAAGCACACAAACGAACTTGCAGTATCCAAGGGCAAGAGACCATCCATGTCACCAACAAATCACAAATCGTTTATTTCAACTTACTCCAGGGCCAGCACGGCGTTACAACATGTCAGATCGCCCTCACCACATTGAAACTCCAGGTCAGAGATCCAGTTCCAATCCTAGCTGCTCTCCTAGTGCACCTGGGAAACCAGGGCAGGATGGCTGGAGTACTTGGGCCCGTCACCGGTGTGGGTGACTTGGCTTCAGGCCGACTCAGTGCTGGCCGCTTGGGAGTAAACTAGCACATCAAAGACACCTCTGTCGTTCTAGTTTTCAAATTAATAAAACTTTTTAAAAAAACTAGTATCCCTTAAAAATACCATTTCTTTTTATTGGAAAGGCAGATCAAATTTTATAGAAATTTTCCATCTGCTGGTTCACTCTCAAATGGTCCCAACAGTTGGAGCTGAGCCAATTCAAAGCCAGGAACCAAGGAGCTTCTTCCTGGTCTCCCATGTGAGTGCAGGGTCCCAAGGCTTTGGGCCATCTTTGACTGCTTTCCCAGGCCACAGGCAGGGAGCAGGACTGGAAATGAAGCAGCCAAGACACAAACCAGCAACCACATGAGATCTTGGCACTTGCAAGGTGAGGATTTAGCCACTGAGCCATTTTGTTGGGCCCAAAAACTACTACCAACTTATGCTTATGGACAGTTTTAAACATAAACAGAAGAAGATAATAATTTTTTTAAATTGCAAAATCAGACATATAGAGAGGAGAAGAGGCAGAGAGGAAGATCTTTCATCCGACGATTCATTCCCCAAGCAGCCACGACAGCCAGAGCTGTGTTGATCCGAAGCCAGGAGCCAGAAAGTTCTTCCAAGTCTCCCACGTGGGTACAGGGTCCAAAGGCCCTGGCTTTCCCAGGTCACAAGCAGGGAGCTGGATGTGAAGCAGGGCCACAGGGACAAGAACTGCATTCTTATGGGGACCTGGCATGTACAAGGTGAGGACTTTAGCCACTAGGCTACTGCACTAGGTCCCAAAGAGGATAATATAATGAACCAGTATCTAGCTGGAACAATTTTTGCATACAAGCTTATTTCATCTGCATTTACTCTCCATCTCCTCTCCCCATCCCACTTTCTCCTCCTGAATGGCTTTACTTATCTACTAGCTTATGCTTTATAGCAAATATTAACGGAACCACAGGAAAGAATGTGAGCGGGCCAGGACTCAGGCAGCAAACCACACCAACTTTCTTTGTATGCTTGACTGACACTGCTCGACCTAGCCGGTGAGAAATAAGGGAGGCCCAGGCCCATTACTGAGTCCTCCCTGTCCCTGTAGGACCTGCCCTCCTCACAGGTCCTCCCCACACACAGCACAGGCCACTCCGCGACTGTTCCTCGGCTCTGCCAAGCTGCTGGCAGAGCAATGCCCGAGATCCCGCAACACGGGGCTCACATGCAGCATACATGCCCCACACAGGCCCTGCTGACGATCACCAACAAGCTTACCTACAGAGCCCTAAGCACGCTGCTTCAGTGTGCTTTCTTTACTCATTTCACCATTATCACCATTATTAATCTGTGCCTGTCGGAGCCTGGGTTTCACCTCTCCACACTGAAGCTGTGGGCGGTGAGCTGAAGCTCCTGGTGGCTCTAGGCGCTGAATCTCACCCAAGGCCACGGCCAAAGCCAGAGTGATTTTCAACCAACGCCACCCTCCTAGAACACCGAGAAGCACTGAGCAGCAGAAACAAAACCTACCTGGTGTAGAAGGGCAACCCGCACCTGGGGAAGCCTTTTTTTTGCGAGGTACAACCTACTCTTTTAGCTCTTCAGTATCATGTGAGGTGCTGGCTGAGGAGTGTTTCCACTCAAAAGTGACTAGTCTTATCAACCACAATGAGTCTATTCAGCCTAAACCAAGGGATGGTTTAACAATTACTCACTGCAGGGGCTAGCGGCTGTGAGTGAGTAAAACCACCAACCATGACTCCAACAGTCGGTAAGGGTACCAACTTGTGTCGCAGCTGCTCCCCTTCCCATCCAGGTCTCAGCTAATGAATCTGGGAAATAGCAGAAGATGGTCCAAGTGTTTGGGCCATGTCACTCATGTAGGAGATCCGGATGCAGCTGCTGGCTCGGACCTGACCACGTGCTGGTTCTAGAGGCCATCTGGGATGTGAATCAGTGCATAGGAAAATCTCATTCTGCCTCCCCCCCCCCCCCCCGTTAACTCTTGTCCTGAGAATGAGGTCAACTGTTATTCCAATTTTACCCCTCAGCTCAATTTATGCCAGCAGCTGTTGTGCTTGCTGAAACACACGGGCAGGGTAGGAGCTGTGGCACAGCAACCAAAGCCACTGCCTGCTCCTGGCTTCTGCCTGGCTGCTGCGTCATCTGTGTACTGAACCAGCAGACAGAAGACTGATTTCTCTTTGTCCCTCCTTCTCTCTTATAAAGGAAGAATAACCACAAAATAAAACACTCTGTTCGGCGTCCAGCCCTGGCCCCAGCCCTACGGGGGGTCAAGGCTTGCCCTGATGGCATGCTCTGTGACACTCCTGGGGAAGACCCTTCCTGTCCATGACAGGCACTGCACAAGCCACCAGGCTTATTTGCCTAGGTGACAACGGAGGATTTCAGAGATGAAAGGCTCTGTCTGTGTGTGTGTGTGTGTGTGTGTGTGTGAGAGTGAGAGAGAGAGAGAAAGAGAGAGAGGAGAGAGAGAAAGAAAAGAATATGAGCCTGAGGGGGGGAGGAGGGGGGAGGGAGCGAGGGAGGGAGGGGGAGAGAGAGAGAGAGAGAAAGAGAGAGAGAGAAGAGTATGAGCCTGAGGAGGAGGATGTCAACAAGAGACCAAGAGCCCTTTCATTTGCTGGGTCACTCCCTAAATGCGAGCTAAAGCTGGTAACTCCCCCTCGTTTCTCCCCATGCCAGGAGCACTGGCAGGAAGGTGACTCACAAGCAGGCAGCCGGGGCTTGACCCAGAGCAGAATGTGATGCCAGTATTCCCAAGTGCAGCTCTGACACACAACGTTCACCGTGCCACCGACCATTTCTGATCGACTTCTGATGTTTACGACAATGGCCAGACGGCCAGTTCTGACGTCAGACAGGAAGACACCCTGCCTTGTACACCCAACTCGGTAGACCAGGCTTCCTCATGGCGGGTACAAGGCTCCCTTCTTCAAAGGCTCTGGGCTTGGTCTCCCTGCTGCCCGCGGCTCCAACTTGCCACCAGCAACTCCACACCCTGCAGCTGACTGCCGCGTCTCCACGAGCTTGGCTCCTGCTACCAGAGAATTAAGAGTGACTGAGCTCTAGGTGAGTAATGAGTGAGACATGAAAAAGCACCTCGCAGATATTACGCAGTGGCTACTCCTGATGCCGCTGTCACACCCTACTAATAACACAAATCGGTGAAGAAAATAACAGAGCTCCGAGTTGAGCAAGCTCCTGAGAAATCAGTGCTCTCGTTAAAGCAGTTCTATTAGCAACCACCTTGCAGTCTAAAAGAGCAAAACGATCAATGTGGGCTGATGATGCACTGACCTTGCTCGTGCTCCTCTGTGGAAAGCAATGGCTTCCAGTGCATCACCCACTGCTCCTTTTCATTCGGAGATGCCAGACAACAAAGGAAACCAGGCAGGGAGCTGCTGGGAGTTCTAGCGCCCCAGCTCCTCACTTAAGCTTAGAGACAAATGCGAAGCTCAGACTGAACTGGCAACCGGCGCTCTAACTGTAGAAGTCTCAACATACACTAAATACCAAGGTTACTTCTACTTTGTCAAACCAGATTATTTCAAACAATAACTGGATTAAAATATCCAGAGGAGGAAAAACAAAGAAGGCTAGCCTGCCCAAGCTGAGAGGAAGGCGACGGTCCCGAAGGCTAGGGTGTGGGACAAAAGCAAAGGCCCACAGGGCCTCTGCATCCAGACAGCTGCTCGGGCTGCGCCCTCTGCCCACGGGGCCGTGCTGTCCTCTTTGTGACAGAGCTGAGATCCAATTTAAGAATTACGTTATGGGCACTGAAATGGTACCTGAGCTGTAGTTCTGGCCTACTTAGGAAACTATTCCAGGAAGCCGGTGTAGGAATGCCTCACAAACATTCTGGCAACCATCCGAGGCAACTACCGCCGTTTCTGAAACCCTGTCACAAACACACAGGCACGTGCCAGACCACATGTTCCCCCAGAGGCTTGGGGATGGGGGGGACCCCTTCTCTGCAAAACCCATCTACGTTGAATTACTTTTCAGATTTATATATTTTATTATTTTTAAAGATTTGTTTTTATTGCAAAGTCAGATATACAGAGAGGAAGATCTTTCGTCCGATGATTCACTCCCAAAGTTACCGCAACGGCTGGTGCTATGCTGATCTGAAGCCAGGAGCCAGGAACTTCTTCCGGGTCTCCCATGTGGGTGCAGGGTCCCAAGGCTTTGGGCCATCCTCGACTGCTTTCCCAGGCCACAAGCAGGGAGCTGGGTAGGAAGTGGGGCTGCTGGGACTAGAATCAGTGCCCATATGGGATCCCAGCGCATTCAAGGCGAGGACTTTAGCCCCTAGGCCACCACGCGGGGCCCGAGATTTAGATATTTTAAAGCTTCGCAGAACTATATATTTTCACACTGACTCAGATCAAAGAACACGGGAATCAAGTTTATTCTGATTCCCTCTCCCTTTTCTAGGGGATTACAGCAAAATCCAGCGCTCTCTGTGCCTCAGTCTGGGGGCGCTGTACAATGCACACGCTTGCCCACTGCCTCACTGGCTCAGGAGGGGTCGGGAAGCTGGAAGAACTGACAACCCCCAATAGAGTGGGGTGACAGGAAGGACACATACCCAAGCAAGCACAGTGGTGATGTTTTCCAGAGTTTTGTTTGAACTTGACACACAGGATTTTCCTTGCTTTCTTTCAAGTCTGTGGTGGAGGGTGACCTTGTGGCTGGAGGCCAAAATGTTTCCCAGGTCTACGAAGACTGAAACCACCGTGCCCAAGAGAGCCAAGAGCTGACTGAGCAGGAGCTGCACTGAGGGCAGGCGCGATGGAGGTAAGACAGCCTCTCTGGCGGGTCTGCATTTGTGAGGAAGGCTGGGTAGCCACTCCTCAAGCACAAGAGAGGAAGAGAGAGAGAGGAAGAGAGAGAGAAAGAGAGAGAGAGAGAGAGAGAGAGAGAGAGAGACTGTCCCTCTGCAACACCATCAGTCACCATGGAGGGACTGACGGATAACAAAACCGCCTGAGCACACGCAGAGGGTCTGCACAGAAAGCAGACGCAAGGACCTCATCAACACCGCTAATCTCTGACCCTCAAATCCGCACACGGGGCCTGAAAGCAAAGATGGTGCCACGAGCCTCTTCTCCCTCCGGCCAAGGGGGATACTCACTGAAAGCAGAAAGTCTGTATTAGCAGAGGAGCGGCTACAACAGAGGAGGGGAGCTACTTTGCCTCGGGAATGAATTTTCTTCCTTCCGATTCCATTCCTTCTTCCTGTACCTAAGGCGGAAATACAGGCGCCATGAGCCAACAGGGACCCCAGCGCCAAGGGAAGATCCGGTTGCAGAAACACAAAACAAAACCACAACAGAGAAATTTTCCGGCGGTGCAGCGGGGACGGCTGTCAGCTACACAAGTGTTTCTCACTTCACAATCCTTCAAACTGCCACTCCGAGGCAGCGCCCCCAAGTCCTGGGGCCCAAGGAGGACGCTCAAGATCAAAGTCTTTACTGCACCTGAGTCTGAGGCAGGCACCCCAACTTCCCCACCACCACCACCACCAACTTGGGTCACGACTCTCTGCCGGGCCGGGGTATACCATTTCCGGGCCCTCAGACGGGTTTCAGAAGACACACAGATGCCCACATCGTCTGTCAGGCAGCGCTCAATTACTGGACAGCCAGGCCATCTTCTCAAGCCGGGAGAGGGTTAAGGGTCGGCCTCACTCTGGATCTGGCCTCCATCTCCTTTCACCAACTCCCCCCAGGTCCTCCCCAACTCTCCGCCACCGCCCCTGGGGAGGGGGAGGGTATCACAGGCTCAGGTTCGTCCCTAAGATGTAAACAGGAGCCTCCAGACCCCACCCACCCCATCCCAGGAGCCGGGAGTCGGGGAGCAGTCGGAGCGAGCGAGGCGCACGGACCCGGGTTCACGTCAGGACATGGGGACGGAGGAGGGCAGGGTAGGAAGGGCGGATTGCAGCGCCCGAGCAAGAGACCGGGACGAAACCCCAGGAGGAGAAAATCGGGGGCTGGGGGGGGGGACGCCGAGGATCAGGAAGGAGGGCGGGAGGGAGGGAAGGAGGGGCCGAGGGTGGGGCCGCGGAGAAGAGGAAGAGGAAGCGCGCGCGTGAGGAGTTAGGAGGAAAAGGCCGATGGGGCGAGGGGGGACAGGCCCGGCAGGGGAGGGACAGGGGGAAAAGTGGCGGAGACGACGGGTAGGACAGCTGGGGCCGAGCCGCGGGGGTGGAATCCCGACGCCGGCGGGGGAGGGGGTGGGAGCCGCCCGAGAGATCCCCCCTCTCCCCAAAACTTTGCGCAGCCCCGCCGCCGCCTCCCGGCCGCCCGCCAGGCCCGCTCGGCGCCCCCCGGCCCTCCGCCGGACACGAGGCCGCGCCCGCCGCCGAGGGCCCTTCCCCCGCCCGACCACCCCGTCCGGGGACCCTCCACCGCCGGGGAGGACGGCCTCGGCGGCGGCGACCCGGAGGAGGCCCGGCCTCGGCGCGGCGCGGTCTCCCGTGTCCCACCTTTTCTCCTGGCCCAGACGCGGCCGGGGCGGACGGGACCTCTCGCGCTCTGCCTCCTCCTCCCGCTTCATGGAGCCATGCGCCTGGGTGGGGGCTCCCGAGAGAAGTGGGCCCCGCGGACGCGCGGCGCGGACGGGGCGGGGCGAAGGCGGCGGGCGGCGGGCGGCGGCGGCTGGGACGGACTGGAGGTATTCCCCGGGAGGCTGGAGGACTGAGTCGAGCCGCGGCCGAGTCCGCCCGTATCCCAGCAGTCACCGGAGGCAGTGAGGTAATGGAGGAAGAATGTAGGGAGTCCTCCAGCGGGCCACACGCCCTCTAGCGAGCGCCCAGGAACCATAGATATCAGGAAGCTGTCGGAGCGCCGCCCCGTTTGCGTCACGTGGCCTGAGTCCCCGCCCCACTCGCGTCACGTGCTCTGCCATTCCGCCCCTGACTGGCTGGCTCTGAGTCTGAGGGACTGAATTTAGGAGGCTGCTGTCTACTCCAAGGGCCGGATCGCATGCAGTTGGGATAAAGAGGGAACCACGAGGGAGAAAGACGGGGGTGCAAGCCAGGATCGTCCCTTGTACGGTGCAGACCGGGCAGGGCGTCGCGCCAGGTTGGCAGGTTGTCCTCGCAGTGCATGCCGGGCGGCTGGCTCTGCGAGCAAGTGAAGAGCACGCCGGGAGTTGTAGTCCGGCCTCGCGGCGGCGGCATTATGCCGAACTCTGCCAGGTCCAGGTTCGGGCCGCGAGCGAGCTGGGGACTCCCGCCGGGAGAGACCCCAGCACTGAGGTGCCAAGGCTTCCTCCTCTCTTCCCTCGCCCCGCTCCGGTCGCCTCGTCAGAGTCCCCGGCCGTGGCCTTCCAGCGAGCCTGTAACGGTCGGCTCGGAATAACTTAAATCAAGCCACCGGGTGCACCTTGAAGGGCACGGGCGCCGCCAGCCCGCGTCAGTCAGGAGGCCCTCCCCGTCCTTGAGCCCCGGGAACCCCAGCGAGAGATGACCTAGGTAGAATCTTAGCTGGACAGGATTGTGCAGTAGACCGTGGCCTCTGCAAACAGCGAGCTGCTTTCCCTAACCGCGCCAAACCTAACGTGGTCCAGGTCCTCTCTAGCCAAAAACAAGGCTTGTTTCCAGATGGCGACGGGTGTTGTCCAGAAAAACCGACTGAAGCCCGTAAAACAGGCTTCTTAAACAAACAAAATCTACAGCAGTCTTCATCATTACAAGGAAGTGCTTCTGTGATGTGTGTGCTGTGAAAGCTCTGATTGCCGGGTTCTGACACCTCCACTGTCTGCCAGAGAAACTACAAATTATGCTGAGATGGCCCCCAGCCAAAATGCCAGGAGGCAGGAAGCCAGAAGGCACTTTCCATGTTGGTTGTCTTCAGGGTTTCTGAAGAAGGCCAACTTCCGACTTAAAAAAAAAAAAATCAGAAATAAATTTCCCACAGTGATTATCTTTCCAGCCCAAAGTCTTTAAAAAAAAAAACACCTCATCTGGAAAGGAGGTTTGGTCTATTGCTCCCAGGGTGGTGCTACGTGGTCATGAACGGCCTGGAGATAAGGGAGTTATTGCTCCCTAGTTCCCAGAGCTGCCACGAGGTAAATAATGCAGCAAGTCACACTTGAAACACTCCCAAATCAACACAGAAAGTGGCCCTTGCCCTCAGCCTGGGAAAGGGAAGTTTCGGGAAAGACTCCACACGGTGGCAAATCAAGCTAGTCCTCTGATCTGTGGCACTGGCATGTCATTTGGACACTGGTTTGAGTCTCAGCTGCTCCATTTCCAGTTCAGTTCTTTGCTGATGGCTTGGAAAAGCAGCAGAGAATGGCCCAAGCCTTGGGATCCTGCACTGCATGGGAGACCCAGAAGAAGCCCCTGGCTTTGAGTCAGCTCAGCTCCTGCTGTTGTGGCCATTTGAGAATGAACCAGGAGGTGGAAGATCTCTGTTACTCTTTCTCTGAAATTTACCTTTCAAATAAAATAAATACATAAATCTTAAAAAAAAAAAAAAAGGTGGTTTTGTTGCTAAGGAGGAGGCAGATGCTGTATTTTCTTGTTTCCTGAAGATCCCATAGACACCTGCTCCATGGCAGAATGGCAGAGATGCAGCTGTGATGTGCAGCCCTACAGCTGTGATGTGCAGCCCAAGTGCCTAAAAAAAAAAAGTGGAAGGCGATAAGCAATGGGTAAATAATTGGGGAAGGAGAACAACAGTAAAGCCCTCAGGGTGATCGCAAAATGCCATGGTGGGCATGAGTGACACAGCCATACTACCCGTTATCAGAATGCCCCTTAAAAGGTCCTTTGTAGTTTTTTCAAAAAAATTTTGTTTTTATAACAAAGTCAGATATACAGAGATGAGAGACTGGGAGAAATATCTTCCATCCAATGGTTCACTCCCCAAGTGAGCGCAACGGCTGGGGCTGTGCTGATCTGAAGCCAGGAACCAGGAACTTCCTCCAGGTCTCCAACACGGGTGCAGGGTCTCAAGGCTTTGGGCCATCCACAACGTTTCTATCAGGCCACAAGCAGGGAGCTGGGTGGGAAGCGAGGCTGCAGGGATTAGAACTGGCGCCCATATGGGATCCCGGGCGTGCAAGGCGAGGACCTTAACCACTGCGCCATCTCGCAGGACCCGATTTTATTTATTTTT